ATTTTATGTAACACAGAAGCGTTCAGGCATAAAATTATTGCTTTGACAAAGTGAGGACCATATACGGTACTCACTTTGCCATGGACCTCACTTTAATAGTAAATTACCTTCGAAAGTGGCTCACTTTGTATGCTGGAAGTAAATATATATATATATATATATATATATATATATATATATATTATATATAGGATATTAATATAAATATCATATTTTCGAACCCTGCTTCATTCTCACTTCATAAGGATTTAATTTAACATATTAATACTTTTCATAACATAGCTATAAAAGAATCTATTTTATTTTTTAGTAATTAAAAGAGTTTACAGCGTGGAGGTCAGTGAAATAGAGAAGTGGATTATGCTTGCCGTACAAGAGGAAAATATCCAGATGCTGAAGACAAAATAATATGACTGTAACAGAAGTGATTCAAAATGTTGTATAATTTTTGTAATATATTACCTATAGTTATACCTATTTGTAACTTTTTATTAATAATTAGGATTTGTCAGCTCTGCTAAAAAGTGTTAAGGCTGGAGGAAATATTCGCATTCATAGGACATGTATTTCAAGAATTATAATTAACGTTTCAACAAATGGTATGGTTAATATTTTTTATTAATTTTAATATAAGAGAATTTCTATTATTTATTCAAGGATCTGTGACCACAAACTTTGATGAAACTCTTGTGGGACACACTGGTGAACTAAGAACCAAACTCTAAATGAGAAATTGGAAAGAATAAACCTTATAACAAAAGTAGATCTAGCTTATCTAATAAGGAAATTTAAAATTTACAAGAGAAGAGATGCATATGATATGACAGCTACAGCAATGAAAATTGAATGGAACAGCCAAGAAAAAAATCATGAAAGGTAAAAATCATGCCTTTTTATTCAAGAAAATTGGTAAGTACAATTATTTAAAAATAAAGGGTGTCCCATTAAGACCGCCTATTTTAAATTTAGTGTCATTTTTTTTGTGTCAATCGTAAAGCGTTGTTGTTGGACAGTGGTCATGTGTGAACATTGAGGTTAAGTCATGGAGATTTACACGGACGCACAACGCATAGAAATTGTAAAAATCCACTATCAAAATGGTGAGAATTTTTCGGAAACGGTTTGAAGATATCGTGGATTTTTTGGTCACCATAACGCACCTTCTCGCCGTACTGTGGTTCGATTATAATCGTGCAATTTGAAACGATTGGGTCAATTCAAACCAAAAAGAGACATATCCATGTTCGTGCAGCTCGGTCTGCTGAAAATATTGCAGCAGTTAGTGAAAGTGTTGAACATAATTCTTACACCTCGATTCGCCACCGTTCCCAGCAATTGAGACTCTCTCGAAGCAGTTTACAGCGCATTTTGGCCAAAGACCGGCATTTTCATGCGTACAAGATTCGGTTGACACAATATTTAAAGACAGCCGACAATGCACAGCAATGAAACCATGGAATTATTGAGGACAAAATTTGAAGACAGAGTTATCTCGCGCTGCGAGGATGTGATGTGGCCAGGCCGATCATGCGATTTGACGCCGTTAGATTTCTTTCTTTGGGGTTTTTTGAAGGAAAAGGTTTATGCTAATAACCCAAGAACAGTTTCTAAACTAAAACATGAGATTCGATGGGTCATTGATGAAATTGAGCTGGCACTATGCCAAAATGTAATCGAAAATTTTGTCAAAAGAATCAACGTGTACCGTCAGTCACGAGGCGGCCATTTATCGGATATTGTGTTCCATATTTAACCTCCATGTCTTCCCTCTTTATTGCAATAAAAATATCTTAACTTTTTAAATAAACACGTAATTTTTTTTTAATTTTAAAATAGGCGGTCTTAATGGGACACCCTTTATTTAAAGTTGTAATATTACTTTGGCACAAAAAAAAAGAAAATTATTAATTATTGCAAAGTTATTGTGGAGTGTTTGTAAGGGGTGAACTACATTTTACAAATTACTAGAATAACAAAAAATTTGAAGAGAACTAAAATGTATGTAAATTTAAATTCATTTTATATTTTTATTTAAACAGGGTGTATGGTTTTGCCTGGTATAATACTAACTTTCTGATTTTGAATAAAACACCCTGTTTTTGTTTGCATTTTTGGATTGAAATATACAAGATGTTAATAATTTTTTTGCAAAATATTATACAGGGTGTTTTCTACTGATAAAAAGTTAAACTTCAACAGATAAAGAATAATATTGTTTACTCTGAAGAAAATTGTTTTAATCTTTAGTTTACTCAAAAAGGACTAACATATTTTTAAAACATATATTATAATAAGTGTGTAGAATACAAAAATGCAAATAAATACATTAAAAATATAAACTGTCCCATATAAAACTGAACACCCTGTATAAATAAAAATATAATATTATAAAAAATATTCACTACATTATTTTTCACAATTTTTTGTGACAACAGTAGTTTCTGAGATATATGAAAAGCGAGTCTGTTTTAGGTTCTTCAAATTCTGAAGATAGTAATGTTTTGTATATTAATGAGCCTTCAACAAGCCAGATACCCATTTTATTCAAGAAACCAGGCCTGATACAAAACCAATTACATTTGAAGATGGATAAATAATATGACACATGTTTAATTTAAAGAGATTTCTTGCAGATCATCCAAGAAATTAATACTATTGTTCGCAGTTTGAATAAACAGTCATTTAAGAAATATGTAATGAATTTTAGAAAATTTAAAACTGATATAGAACTACAAAATGCTAAAGAAAATTCCAAAAAAAGAAAAATAGAAAAGCAAACATATTATCCAAGTAAAAAATAGGGCGTTTAGTTTTAAATAGTAATAAATTTTACAAAAAATCAAGGGGGTGGTAGGCCATGCCAAGGCAAGCATTTTTGGTATCAAAGACAGGTGTCCAAAAACGACCTCCCCCATACCAAGCTACAGGCCATTCCATGCCAAATCAACACACTTTAAAAAGAAATTTTTCCTCACCATTTCAGATTTTCCTAAAATTTGGTATACTTATACTATGTACTAAGACTAAGAAAAATACCAATTTTTAAATTTTTATCTCACACCATTTCCGATATATGGCTATGTAAAGTTTTTAAAAACTCGCGAAAAAAGTGTGAACGTTTATTTTTTAAATTGCGCTGGAAGCTGTCCTAATTTAGTTAGAAAGCTGGGAGAGGTGTCATTTTGCAGCATTTTAAATGCTCTTTCAAAGACATACGACTGCCAAGGGTATTAATGAAAAGATTTTGTTCAAAATCCATATATATACAGGGTGTTATGTAATTAATGTTATATATTAAAATGGGTTGTTCCTTAGGGTCCGTAAAGAAGCACCTGAAACTTTTTTTTTCTAAATTCCAAAGTCTAAAAATAATTTATAATAACCTTTATCCTACCAAAAAGTACGCCACTGATCGACTAGGAACTTTAGGTTAATCTGGTGGATTTATTATGTTATGGTTGGTAACAACTGTTTCCAAAATCTTTCAAAAAAGTTGCCAAGCATTGTTTAAATTTAGCTTAATTACAAAAATGACAAAATTAACAATGCAAATTGTCAATTTGGCGTTTTTATTAATTGTTGGTTATTTCATTTTTGTACTGAAGGTAAATTCAAACAAAATATGCCAACTTTTATGACAGAATCTAGTGCATTTCTTTTAAACTTTAGGTTATGTTTTCAAATTGTAAATATCTTAACTAAGGAAAGTGCTTTTGGATTTATTTACACAAATTAAATGTTTAAAGTTTAACCTGTGAACTGGTCCCAATTTCATCTGAGTAAACAGAGAAAAAAACTGATGAAAAAATTAATTTTGTGGTTATGGATTTCAAATTTCAAAGGTACTAAATTTTCTAATCATTGCTTAAGCTAATAGCTGGATCAGTAAATAAATACAGAAGGGTATTAGAGCTTTAAGGGCATAAAACTTTTGTATTTATTGAGTTTTTATTTATTTTTTGCAAGAAAAATTTTTAGTAACAATTTTTTACATCTGGCAACGCATAGCTACTTTGTTGGTTGGTATCTATGTACTCACAAAATACAGGTGTGCAGAGATAAACAAGTGTGTAACCAGTGGCGTATCACAAAAAATATAAAAAACTTCTAATGCATATTTTTTCTTTATCTTTGGAAAAATGTTTTTTTAAATATTTTTCCTTTATTCCTTATGTCAAAAGGTATTCGGTATTTTAATATATAACATTATATAACATTAATTACATAACACCCTGTGATTTAATTTTTTTTTAAAAGTACATAATTTAAAATTCTCAAAATATTTGTATAAATACTTGGTAGTGTTCTGAATCATATAATAAAATATTAATGTGGGGTCTTAATGGGTTCATTGTTAAAAAAAATATTTCTGATGCTGGTTTTTCACTTTTAACTAATTTTGACATTATTCAACGTTTATCAGGCTTAAGCCTGACAATTGTATTTTTTTTATAATATCGGCTGTCATCATTCCCGACTTGTGTAATTTAATTACTGTGATACGCTTGTTTTGGCGATTCATATTGAACTAAATTTTAAACAAAACAACATAAAATGAATATTTTCAAAAATATAAGGGTTCTAAGAACCCTAATAATATCGGTTGCCTACATTCCCGACTTTTTTAATTCAATTACTATGATACGCTTTTTTTGGCGATTCATAAATTTTAAACAGAACAACATAAAATGAATATTTTCAGAAATGAAAGGGTTCTAGGAACCTGCTCGAGCAAACAATTTCCGCGAAAACCTTATTGATAAATTTTAAACTCGCTTAAAAAAAATTCAGGGAACTTTTATCGGACCCTGTATATATTCGTAGTTTATTTAAAAATAAAACTATAAATGAGGTGTGTTTAAAGTGATTTTGGTGTCAACATGGAGCCTTCTATTTTAAGAGTGCAGTGTTATAATCCAATGAAAAAAACAAATCATTTTATTAGAGACAGAAAAAAACTGAGAAAAGTCCCAGCATGGATGACTGGATTATTTCCATAAATGCCTATTGGCTCCATGATTTGTCATACCTGCAGGAAAGATGTAACGAAACTTAAAAATAATGAGCCAAGTACTAGTGCTAAAAATGCTGAAGCTGAGGATTCTTCTGGATCGGAGGAACTCATCCATGGCGATGACCCTGCCTTCACTTCAACTTCAACGGCTGTTGAGTTACTTAACATATCACATCATATTACATCCAAGCACTATGCGACAAAGAAAGTGAAAAAAATCTCTTTAACAGTGAAACGTAACCTTTTTGTTGCTGTGGAAACTTCTTCATCGGATAATGAAGATGATATTGATGAATCGGTTCTCCAAAATCTAAAAACTAACTTTTTATGTTCTACAGATAGGACGAAAAAAATAATGATACTTACAAGTTTGCCGAAAAAGTGGAGTATCAGGAAGATAATGAGAGAGTTTAATGCTCCAAATTACATGGTTCGGCGATCAAAAAAAATTTTGAGAGAAAAGGGGTTTATGGAAGGTCCAAACCCCAAACCAGGCAAATATTTACCATTAGAAACAGTAAAAAATGTTCATTCGTTTTATGAAAGTGATGAAGTAAGCCGGGCAATGCCGGGTATGAAGGATTGTGTAACAGTTACTAAACCAGATGGAAGTAAGACTAAAATTTCTAAAAAACTTATTTTGTGCAATCTTAAAGAAGCTTATAAACATTTCAAAGACAAGTTTCCTGACATTAAAATAGGTTTCTCTAAGTTTGCTGAGCTGAGACCCAAACAGTGCATTTTAGCTGGGCAAAGTGGCACACACTCTGTTTGTTTGTGCACAACTCATCAAAACATTAAGTTGATGATAGAAAATGCAAAACTTAATATATTAACAAATGGAAACCTAAAAAATTACAAGCAATGCATTGCAAAAATGCTTTGTAACCCATCATCAATAGCTTGCAACGTGGGAAATTGCGAATATTGCCCTGGAGTAACTGAAATCCATAAAATGTTACAAGACTCTTTCGATGAAAATTTTATTGAAAAAGTTCAATTTCGACAGTGGGTATCGGTTGACCGCTGTAATCTGGAGACCTTGGAAAAAACTTCCGAAGAGTTTATCGATTTATTTTGTAGTAAGATGTCCGCTTTGGTTAAGCATGACTTTATCGCCAAGCAACAAGGAGCATTCCTTAACAACACGAAAGAAAATCTTCATGATTCAGAATTTGTCGTTACTTGTGATTTTTCCGAAAATTATAGTATAGTTCTTCAGGATGAAGCACAGAGTTATCACTGGACAAGCCAACAGATTACGATTGATCCTTTTGTTATATATTACAAACAAGAAGACAACATTGAACATTTGAGCTTTGTTATTATTTCAGAATGCTTACAGCACAACACAGTAGCTGTTTATACATTTCAAAAGAAGCTCATTTGTTATTTAACAAACAAATTTCAAAAGCTTCCAAGAAAGATATCTTATTTTTCTGACGGTTCGGCCGCTCAGTATAAAAATAAGTAAAACTTCCTGAACCTTTGCCTTCATGAGGAAGATTTTAACATAAAAGTTGAGTGGCACTTTTCAGCAACAGCACATGGGAAAGGGCCATGCGATGGAGTAGGCGGTTCTGTTAAAAGGCTGGCAGCTCGCGATAGTTTGCAAACGCCATATGACAACCAAATCCAAACCCCACAAGATCTCTTTGAGTGGGCAGTAGAAAACATACCAAAGGTAGATTTTGCCTTTTTCACTCAAGAGGATTATGCTGTTTCAGAAATGTTTCTGGAAAGCCGTTTTAAACAAGCACTAACCATTAAAGGAACACAACAGTTCCATGCATTTATTCCCAACACTAAATCAGAACTACTAGTGAAACAGTTTTCAGATGAAATGCAGGGTTGGGAGAGGAATGTGGCTAAACCAGTGGACACACTGAAGTTAGAAGACGTTTCAGGCTATGTCACCACTGTATATGGCAAAAACTGGTGGCTTGGCTATGTTTTAGAAAAAGATGAAGAACATGATGAAGTGAAAATAACTTTTCTTCATCCTTGTGGGCCAGCATCATCATTATCTTACCCTAGACATGCAGATGTCCTATGGCTTTCCGTTGTGGACATTCTAGCACGAGTAAATCCTGTTACACCAACTGGAAGAACGTACGCTCTTGGAGGAAGTGATGTGAAGCTAACTCAAATTGCATTTTCAAAAGTTAATCAGTAAACAAGACAATCTTCAGGGATATTTGCCTACTTCTTTTAAATCAATACTTAATTTTTACATAGGTTAGTTGGTGTTAGTAATTTATACTAAACTAGTTATTGTTAGTACCTACTTGGGTTCCATGTTTAGTTAAACATCAGGTAACACATTATATGTAAACAAGCGTATCTTAATTTATGTTTTTTTAATAAACCCATTATAAGTTAATGCCTCATTTAAAAATTTCTAATTGGACTAACTTTTTAAAGGAATATTTTAAATGTAAAAAATTAGGTACCTTTTGGAAAAGCCTCGAATAAAAATTACCCTAGTGTTAAAAATAAATTGTCAAAATTAGTTAAGACCCCACATTTATATTTTACTATATGGTTTAAAACAGTACTAAGTATTTATACAAATATTTTGAGAATTTTAAATTATGTACTTTTTGAAAAAAAATTGAATCAAAATATATATGTGGGGACTGGATTTCCCACTCTCGTCTGTCAGTACAATTTAAGTGATTTTTATAATAATTTTTATTTATTTTATTTTTATTGCTATGTATTTCGAATTATTATTAGTCAGTAATTATGTTTAAACTTTTCAGGTAGTAGGTTGTAAATAGTGTATTACAGAGAGCGTGTGTTTGTTACCTGGAGCCTTGTAAAACATTGGAGTTTCCTGTCATCGGTAAACATCCTTTACGATTGCTTACTTACCTCTCCGGTTTCTTTACCGAAAGTAATTTATTTAATTTTATTTTTATTACCCTTTTATAGATGCGCTTTGATTTTTCCAAATGTTTCCTACCTATCCCCTACCACGATTAGGGGTGGGTGGCCAAAGGGCTCTTGGAAAATGCCGTGGTCTATCACGAGACACAACGTACTGACTGCCCGTTTTGAGTACATCGGCTCCGGGTGACAACACACGCTCTCTGCAATACACTATTTACAACCTACTACCTGAAAAGTTTAAACATAATTACTGACTAATAATAATTCGAAATACATAGCAATAAAAATAAAATAAATAAAAATTATTATAAAAATCACTTAAATTGTACTGACAGACGAGAGTGGGAAATCCAGTCCCCACATATATATGGATCGATTTTGAACAAAATCTTTTCATTAATACCCTCGTATGTCATTTGAAAGAGCATTTAAAATGCTGCAAAATGACACCTCTCCCAGCTTTCTAGCTGAATTAGGACAGCTTCCAGAGCAATTTAAAAAATACACGTTCACACTTTTTTCGCGAGTTTTTAAAAACTTTACATAGCCATATATCGGAAACGGTGTGCACACATGAGATAAAAATTTTAAAATTGGTATTTTTCTTAGTCTTAGTATAAGTATAAGTATACCAAATTTTAAGAAAATCTGAGGTGGTGTGGTAAAATGGGTGTGTTGGGTTGACATGGACTAATATGACACATGTTTAATTTAAAGAGATTTCTTGCAGATCACCTAAGAAATCATTAGTATTGTTCGCAGTTTGAATAAACAGTCATTTAAGAAATATGTAATGAATTTTAGAAAATTTAAAACTGATTCAGAACTACAAAATGCTAAAGAATATTCCAAAAAAAGAAAAATAGAAAAGCAAACATATTATCCAAGTAAAAAATAGGGCGTTTAGTTTTAAATAGTAATAAATTTTACAAAAAATCAAGGGGGTGGTAGGCCATGCCAAGGCAAGCATTTTTGGTATCAAAGACAGGTGTCCAAAAACGACCTCCCCAATACCAAGCTACAGGGGATATGCTATACCTCCAAGACCACAAAAACGCTTGTCTTGGCATGGCCTACCAACCCTCTGGTTTTTAACCATTTTTCTCTAACTCCTGTATATATGTTATGGATAATATTCGAAATAAATTATTTTTTATAATAACTGAGCGTTTTAGGATTTATAGATAATTACCAAAATCTTTAGTTTGTATTGATATTAGTAATTATCCACAATTCCTAAAATGCTTTAAAACATTTAATTTTTTTAAAATATATTTTATTTAAATTGTTTTATTTTTTTATTTTAATTATGTATTATTTTAGTAATGGAGATTTACCTCCAAAAAGTTTTTTTAAGTGTTCTAGATTCTTTTTGGCCACTTAATTAGACTTGTGCTAATTTACGTCACAGGACCTATCCCAAAGGTGTCCAATTTCCCAAAAAAAAAAATAACAATATATGTATTTAAATGTATATAAAAGTACAAAGACAAGCATTTCCTTTTTCCTTGTTCCATAAATCCGCAAAACATACTTTAATATATTATATATAAAAAAATAACGTTTAAATTAACATAAAAATAATCCCATTATACATTAAAATAAAAATGATCTATACATGTTGTTTCTACTCAAAATAAACAACCTAATAGAGGTGCAGATCTCATCAACACTTTTAAAATAAGTATTTGTCATTCAAGCTTTTGTTATTACCTTTATTGTCAGTTAAATTAATACTTATCTACAATGTTTATATTAAAAAATTTTAACAAAAATATTGACTAGCGAAGATTTAAGGTTTATGGAAACAATAGAAGTAAAGGTGGACAATTCGAAAATAAAAGTTTAAACTAAAAATATTTATTTAAAAAAAGTGTTATATACAACCTTAGATTGTCTATTTTAATTTAAAATACCCTGTATAAATCGCAAAGATATTTATCTTGCGTTCTCCATATGAGAACGCCGAAACTCGTTGCTCGACCATCTTGGATTTTGCTCAAATTGTGTCAAATTCAGCCCATTCGAATTAAAACTTTTAAAAAACGTCATTTTTATGCTTTAATAATTTAAGCTGTATTTTTTTTTCTATTAAAGATATTTTAAATTTTAAGATGTCATTTTAAAGCTATTAAATAGTAGTTTTTATAAAAAAAATATAAATTCACTCAATCAATATTTCTAAATAATTACATGGTGCTGAAAAAACGCGTATTTTACTAATTTTTCGTGTTTTTTAAATGCTTCCCATATCTCGGCTGTTTAATATGAACAGCTAATTTTTTTCTTATATTAGGTTTACAAAGACAAAATAAAACTTACAATTGAAACTCTAAATTAAAAAAAAATAACTTTAAAAAGAGGCATTTTTGTGTCATTTACAGGCACATTTTTTAAAACTATATACAGGAATATCATCCCCAAATTTTGTTCTTAATTTAAACAGGCTTCAAGGTCACCTCACACAAAAAATAGCTTTATTTTAAGAATTCTTGTTACAGTCTAAGAAAGTTAAGGCTCATAAAGTAAATGTACTTACAACATTTGCAGGTAACTTGTGTCCTGGTAAATATTTAACATTTTCATGAGTTTCATTTATGATTTCAGTAAGTTTTTTTCCATTTATCATTTCTTCATAAACATACATTGTAACTTTTTCATCAAAATGTGCAAGTTTTTGTGCATTGTAGCCCACAATTTTTGCAATTGCAGATCCCCTAAAAATATAAATACCTTGACATTAAGGGTACTTAAATGGATAATAAGTCTTTCTCAAGAATTTATCGTGTCAAGGAAATGTTATCTAATTAAAGGGTTTAAAAATAAATGTACAAATAAGTTAGGTTATGTTTATATAATGTTAAAATAAAATTGTAAGTCATACCAATTGCCACTTCCGACTATACACACTTGTTTTGGTTGTTCACAAGCCATTTTATTAATTTATCTATAAGCGCGTTTTTTATCAACCACACACAGAGTTTGTCTAGGTATTAGCACTGTTCAGCAGTCTTTTCAAGTTAATAACCAGTGCCAAATATTCGACCAATTAAAACTGATATGTAGTAAATCTTCCAATCAGGTGGTAGTTTCGAGGTCATACAATGATTTTCTTATCTTTGACCTGTGAACGTAGGCTACGTAACATATAGCTTAAATTTCACTCGTTTTTCACAAGTGCTATTTCGGTTTTGTGCGGCGCACGCACGCCGATTTTCGAATGGGACCATAGAGAAAAGAAGTCTATGGATGAGACCACTCAAACATAGATAAAATCTATGCACTCAAAGAACAACCCGGACCAGGGTTGGAAATAGGGTTGCCAGGCCTTCTATATTTAATAGAAATCTTTATAAAATCTTATCCTCTATGCTCCTAAAATATAAAAGCAAGATCTTCTATATATTTCAGCGTTTTGGAATAAAAAATATAAAGTTGCAATGTTTAGTTGTATTATTGAATTTATTAAGTTGGATTTAAAATATAGGTAATGTTTGATTATTACTACCGAGCAAGCACAAACATCCTTAGGACGTCCTTGGACCAGCCTATGTCCCGGAATGGGATGATCCTATAAGGACGTACATAGGTTGACCTTAGACATAGGACATTAGATCTTTTTAGGTCCCATTTTGGGATATCCTACCCTGCTTAAAATACCCCATATATAGAGACCTATACAAAATAATCTATCGGGCGCTACCGGATTCAATATGTGTAATTGTCCATGTTTTTTTTCGGATACGGCCCGATAGAAAATGTATAGGAAATTACCTATAGGCACACCATAACTTTAACACTTTCCCTATTGAGACTGATAGCAAATAACTCAATGAAGGATATCCTTATATATTATATAGGGATAATATCCCTGGGATATCCCTATAGAGCAACCATAAAACATTTGACATAATTTAATTAAAACCTATAGGACCCCATATATGGGGTCCTATAGGGGAAAAACTAATTTCTACATTTATGCATAATGGGGATCCCCATTATGCATAAATGTAGAAATTTTCGAAAATACACATGTGTATTTTCCCCATTGAAACCGATAGCAAATAAATCAAGGGTGGATATCCCTATAGAACCATAAATCTCAACTATGGGTCCTATACAAACCGAAACACCATATAGAAACACCATACATTCCGATACAAATATCTATCGGTTTGAACAGGGTCTCTATGGGGTATTTTAAGCAGGGTAGGAACGTCATTTAAGGATGTCGTAAGGACCTAATAATATATATATATATATATATATATATATCCTAATTTAATTGACCAGCCCATTTTAGGCTTTATAAAGCCTAAAATGGGCTGGTCATAGGACTAATCCTGGAGACATCCTCAGAATGTCCCGTTAGGTTTTGGTAAACATGTTATAATTTTGTATGCACATTTTTCTATAAGAATATTTTATTCTAATAATTTTGATAATAATTTTTTCAAGTTTATAAACGACTTGCATACTATACTTTTTCTACGACGATTACAAAAATTAAATAATTTCCAACAATTATATCCCTATTAGGGATTCCCTAAATAATTATTTATAAATTCTAACCTCACTTCACAGCAAACGAAAAATTATAGAAGTGTATAGGATGACTCCGCGTTTGAATATCAAATCTTAAAGTTTTATCATAACTGTATTGAATCGTGCTTTGTTTTTATATTTTTCGGCTCTATACCTATGCACGACTATATTTAAAGTCAAACTCAATGGTGTCTTACAAGATACATTATTTTGATTTTCTATATTCAACAGAGGAGTAGAAACTCGACCCTGTCGAATGGTGCAGTCATATATATATATATGTCTCTAGAAATTATTAAAAAAGGGTTCAGTCCAATGGTGCAGCAACTTCGGATTCCTATTCTCCTCAGAGACATAGAAACTCAAGCTTTTCGAATTTTACTGGCAATGATTTTCGTTAATGTCCCCGAGAATTATACAAAAACAGCGCAATGCAATATCGCAACGGTTTCGACTTCTCTTTACTCTACCAAGTTATAGAAACTGGAGTCTCTCTAATACTGTTCTAGTCAATATTTCTGAGAGTATAAAAAGAGGGTGTAATATTGCAAGAAGTTTTGATCTTTTGATGGATGAATTTTCTCATTTCTCCATATGATTTTGTTGAAAATAGTTCCTTTCTTTGGTTCCTTTGTCTGATTTTTATTTACCGTAACAACTCAGGTATTTAAAGCACAGAGGATATGATGTTAAGTATATTTATGTATTATATAAAGTACCTATATTTGTATTAAAAATTTAAGAGGTTATGTTGAAAAATGATCGATATACTATTAAACTTTAATAATTTAGTAATTAGGTCTGTTGGTAGACCCTGCACTATCTCCACTGGTATAGTTTTGTAATATTTAAATCTGGTTGATGAAAAAGTACACACCAGTGCAGGTTATTGTAGCATCTACGAACAAATGACTTAATGGCCCATTGGCAATTATTCCTTTAGGAAAAATATTCAACACAGCTTAATTAATAAAATGAAAAAAATCACAATCATGTCGTATATAGTTTTTTTTAAGCATAAAATAATTTTTATATTAAAACTAGTTCAAAAGTGAAATTACGACCTCTATACTGTGGAGAGTATTGAAACGCTCGACTGACGAATACCACTCTATACCGTAGGGAGATTTAGAAATCGATATTCAAACGTGGCGTCATCCTATACACCTCTATAATTTTCCGTTTGCTGTGTTTTTAGACCCTTTATTGTGATGGTCATTGTTTCGCAGTGGACAACTGCGCCTGTGACTAAAAATTCCGAAAGCCATTGCTGACAACTTCAGCCCGTGACCAACAAATGTAATATTTTTTTTCTACTCAGCGCCGGATTATAAAAATTTGCGCCCGGGTCTAATAAAAATTTTCCGCCCCTACCTATATAATAAAGTCAAAGAAATGTCAATTCTTAACAAAAGGATTTTATTTAACCATAAACATTATTAGGGTTGTAGTATTTTTTCGAATTTTTTTTGATTTTGGAGATCAAATAAAAAAAATAAGTCTAAAGTATTTGAGTTTCAACAGATAAAAAAATTTTAGACGTCGCTCAAAACTTTTTTAAACCAACCTTTTTTCTCAAAATCTTTGGCTTCTCACTATTTTTTTTGTAGGTCGTATAGGAACATAATACATTTTTAAGTCAAATATTTTTGAAATACATTTCTTGATTTTTTTAATAATTTTGATCTTGGAACCACTACTATTTTTCCAATTTAGTTGATTTTTTTGAGCGACGTTTATTTTTTTTTGAGTTGAAACTTGAATACTTTAAACTTAAATTGTTTCATGTGAGCTCCGAAATAAAAAAAACATACATATATATATGACTGGTACTGTATATAACTATAGTTTTAAACTAATTTAAATTAATAGTTGTTCGTAGTGTAATAAAATATTCTTATATTAAAAAACCTTTACGCCCATACGCATCGCATCGGTGGAAATAATCAATTTCTGCAAACTAAAGTTCTTTTAGTCCAACAACTTGTCGGGCGCCCTACGTAATACGTGACATGACATATTTCGTATACTATGCATAGATAATAATACTATGGCAACAAGCACAGTTATAATTTAAATAATTTTTTTATTAAAACTGATTAATACACGAAAAATAAAAAGAGGGGAAAACCCTTTCCCACACAGCACATATATCCATTGGACGTCCAGTGGACGGCCATTGTACATCCAAACGTCCAATGTAAGTCCATTTGACGTCCAATGGACATCTTGTGCTGTATGGGTTAGGTTGTGGTAAAAAACAAAAATTACCAGTCAAAAATTTTGCGCCCCCTGTAAGCTTGCGCCCCGGGTCTATAGACCCCCAAAGCCCTGCTTAAAATACCCCATAGAGACCCTGTTCAAACCGATAGCCCAGTAAGCACAAGGCATTCGGCAAACTGTCGGCCTCCGCTCGGCACAAGCGGCAGGCCGGCTGTTCGGCTTGCCCCAGGCGGCCCGCTTACGGTCCTCATTATGGTAGCCCGGTTACCGTGTGGCCATCGTCTAACCCTGTTCCCTGTTGCCACAGTTTACTGTGGCAATGCCGTTGCATATGCGGTTCGGCTTGCCCCCAACCGATCCGCGTACGGACCGTGTATGTAAGCCCGGTTAGCGAATGGCCATATTCTAGCCGAAGCCGTCCAGAACCTGGCCAGCATCACGATTTAATATTGTAAATTGGATTTGGGCGAGATTTAAATTAGCCGCTCTTGCTGGGTTATCGCGTTGGCCAATAGCTATCAACCATGCTCAGTCCGTTCTGTTGTCCGACAAGTGCATTGCCGCCATTGCGTGTGTTTGTTATAATTGCGTTGAAAGTGTTTTTCTTTTATAATCTGTGGTGTTTTTGTTTATGGTTGTCAGGTCGCACAGAACATAAGTTATTGTTATACATTGTTATATGGTTAAACATTGTTTTATGGTTGGCAGGTCGCCTACATTCACTCTGTGCCTACATTGTTGTTAAAGTGTTTTAAAGTACGTTGACTTTGGTTTTGTATGTGTCGTTTTTATCATGGATGAACAGTAAGTAACCTACCATGAATCTAAGTATTAGACAAAAACGGCGAAAAATCAGGCGAAACAGATGAAATGCCCTATTGAGGATTGTTCACAAGATCTTTTAAGTTCATTATAAAACATGAATTGGCACTTAAAGTCAACTGGGTGGGGGCAAACGAAAAAGGCTCCTTTCAGCAATTGGATTATGTTTTAAAGCTTTTATATGGTAAGGTTTATTAAAACTTTTATAACCATTTTTTTAAGTTTTTATTTTTAGGGTCAATACGTCGAAATTTAAATTGTTCCAGTGCCACAAATTCGGAAATAAATGGGGCCATTAAAATATGGTTAAAAAATGCTCCCGATCGAGCAGGTGGACGAACCGGCAGAAGGAAAGGCAATGAGAAATAAACATGACGATTTTTCAATATGACTACACGGAGAAAAATATATATTAAAATTTATTATAAGATTTAGCTGTCACTATATTTAACGTAAAATATAATAAATATTATTATATTTTACGTTAAATATAGTGACAGCTAAATCTTATAACAAATTTTAATAT